TTGCCTTTTATTAACCAGTGCTTCGATTATCGCTTTGGCTGACAGTCTAGCAGAGGCAGATTAATAGACACTTTGACACAAAGTGGGCCAGATGGAGCCGAGGGGAGGCAGGTTTGCTGACAGGCTAGGAGAGTTGAAGACCAAAACACTTTTCGACACATTAGGGAATGTGGAGGCCGAGGATCTTGTTCCCAAACTGGCTGACATTGACACAGAGCAAGATCCAAGACACTTGGCCACATAGTGGAGGATGTGGAGGTGGGCATACTGATCCACACACTGGCTCATATGTCAGCGGAGGCGAAGGTTGGGAGACTTAGTAATACACCGGGTAATCTGGAAGCCGAAACACTAGTCGACAGGCTGGTTGACACGATAGCAGAGTCGAAGCTCGAGACAGGTGGCGACACACTTGGCGATATCTAATGCTGGTCTAATGAGGTCTAATGCTTTTTAAATGCAATTATAATGTTAAGGATCTTCAAATTACCTCTACCTTTTATTTAGAACTACTTAAATGGTGGTCGGAACTCCGAGAAGATAATGCTCTTAATAACGATTGGCATTATGTAATTTGGAATAATCGAGACTTTAGAATAGACGACAAGCCCTTTTTCTACAAGAAATATTACGACATTGGTATCTGGGAAATAGGAGACCTACATTTTGATCTCAGCAATACGGAATCCTACGAATAGATTGCAAAAAATGTTAAAAAGACAAACTTCCTTGAATGGACTAGTATGAGACGTTCAATACCAACCACTTTAAGAGTTCTTAATCGCTCGGATTCGAGTACCTTTAATGCAATACCTTCTTTTAAAATCAATGGCGGCGTTTTCGACATAGCAAAAAAGAAATCAAAAGATTATTATCCTCTTTTGATAAAAAAGAAGGCTTGTCTCCCAAATTATGCACAAAAACTGAAGTTGGATTTTAATCTATCTAATGACGATCTCAGAAAGGCATTTCTCTTGCCCCATTCTATCGCGTTTGAACCTTATGTCAAAGCCTTTCAATTTAAAATACGTAATTCTATACTTTTTACCAACTCAAAGTTGTTCAAGATTGGGTACAGGACAGACAACTTGTGCTCTTTTTGCAAAAGGGAATCAGAAACTATTAGACATTTCTTTTGGGATTGCCCTTATTCGAATTCATTTTGGAAATGTGTTGAATCATATTATTTTGGGTTGCGAAAACAACTAGTTCACCTAACATTAAAGGAAATTTGGATCGGCTTTTTATCTTCTGAATGCCCCTTGCTTAATTATCTTATACTTATAGGGAAAATATATTTATGGAGTTGCAGAAGAAATGAACTAATCCCAACCATAAACAGTTTTATAGTTAGAATAAACGGTAAATATGAAATAGAAAAATATATTTTCACTAAGAATAAGAATTTACAAAAATTAATGGCAAATGGACTTTGTAATCTAGGTAGTTTTTCTTCTTTTGAAAAAATGCTTACTTTCTTCTTTTTTGAATAGCACTTGTAAATAACAGTAGGCATTACCTTGTGTGTAATTGTGGAATTGCACGTGTGCTTAGGTGTGTAGTAAGTTTGTGCATGTATGCTTTGTGATAATAATTGTAATTGTTGTAATTGTTGTACTTTGGAATAGCAAATGAAATAAAATTAAAAAAAAAAAAGATATGGTAGCCAAGGCACTTGGCAACACACTGGTTGATGTGAAGGGCGAGGAACTAGTCGAAAAACTAGTGCAGACGCTCGGCAAGTGTGTAGCATAGGGCCTGGAAATCCACCTCTCTTACCCTGTAAGCTAGTGTGTTCACGAGCGCTTCAGTCTTAACCATACACAGTTTGTGCCCAGGCTGGTAAAAAATGAAGAGGCGAAGGCTGCAACTGGTCGAGATGCCCACACTCTAGCCCACAACGTAAGCAAAGTGGAGGCCAAGGCACTAGTCCACACGGTGGCTGACACGCAAGCAGAGGCGGGGGGAGATAAACTATCGAGACACTGGGTGATGCAGACGTCGAGTTCTGGGACATTTGGAGGCAGAGGCAAGTATCGAACGGTATGCTGACACGCTAGAAGAAGCGGAAGCCGGCACCATTGGGGACATATTGAGCGATGAGCACGCCGAGGTATTAGTTGACACGCTGGCTAACACGGAAGCAGAGACAAAGGCGGTTGAAATTTTTGACAAAGTGGGCGATCTGAAGTGCGAGGCGCTGGTCGACCATCTGACAACCAAGCTGGGAGAAGCTAAGGCCGCGACTCTTTGCAACACACTGAGCCATGTGGAGGACGAGGCTCTATTTCACACGCTGAGTGACACAGATAGCAGAGAGAAAGGCCGAGAAACTTGGCAACACACTGGTCAATTTCAAGGCCAAGGCACTGGTTGACACGCTGGGTAACAAGCTAGGTGAGACAAAGGCCGGCACATTTTGCGACACACTGGGCGATATAGGGGCATGGACGAAACAATGGGTGTAAAACTAGCAGAGGCGGAGGCTGAGAAACTTTGCGTCACAATGAGCGCTGTGGGAGCCAACCCATTGGACGACACGCCGGCTTACACTCTACAAAAGGAGATGGCCGCGACACTTAACAACACACTCGCCGATGTGGACGCCTACCCAGTAGTCGAAAGCTTGTAGCTTTGACGCCACAAAGGCCGAAGCCGGGTAACTTGCGATACAGTGTGCGATGTGAAAGGCGAGTCCCTGGTCGGACGGTAGGACAGGTGACGACACAACGCAGAGAAATTAGTCAACAGGTTGGCTGCCAGAATAGCAGAGGCGAAGTCCGAAACATTTGGCGACAAACTGGGCGACCTGGGGGGAGAGGCACTGGTTGACACGCTGGCAGACACGTTAGCCTGGGCGGAGGGCGGGAAACCCTGCTACACAGTAAGTGGTGTGGAAGAAGAGACCCCTGTCGAAAAGCTTGCAGACACGACGGAATTTACATTTAACAACACACTATGTGAAGTAGGGGCACTAGTCGCCACGCTAGAAGACGCGATATTTGGCAACACACTGGGCGATGTAAAGGCCTACAAACTAATCGACACACTAGCCAACACTTTAGAAGAGTCGGAGGTGAAGGTACCCGAGGCCAAGGCACTTGTTGACACGGTAGCTGCCCCGCTGGCAGAGAAACAAGTCGAAAAACTTTGGGACACAATAAGCGATGTGCAGCATGAGAGACTTGGCGACACGCTAAGAAATGTGAAGCAAGAGGCATTGGTTGATACGTAAGAGGACACTTTAGCAAACGGGCAGGCAAAGATACCTTGCAACACAATGGTCGAATTAGAGGCCAAGGCACTAGTTCACACGATGGCTGACACGTAAGCAGCGGCGAAGACCAAGATACTTCTCAACACAATGGGCAAAGTGGAGATTGACGCACGCTCGACAAGCTGAGTGATAAAGGTTCCATGAGCGTTGGCCGAGATACTTGACACAATGAGCGATGTAGAGGTTGACGCAGTGATCGAAGCTGACGGACACGCTAGCAGAAGCTGAGGCCGCGACACTTTGCAACACACTCATCGATGTAGAAGCAAGTACACTGGACAACACGTTGCCTGACACCCTGCAAGAGGCGAAGGCCGCGGCAGTTGGCGGAAACAGAAACAATTGCACAATGAACGATGCGGGAACTAAGCAACGTAGAGGCCCTTTTCATAGGTCGAGAAGCTGGGTGAGACGCTAGCAGAGGTTGAGGCTGCGACACTTGGCAACAAGCTGGGCGATGTGAAGGCGGAAGCAGTAGTAGAGGAGGTGTAGGGCGGGACACCTGGTGAAAAACTGGGCGATGTGTAAGCCAAGGTAGTAATGGAAAAGAAAGCTGACACTCTAGGTACTCCATTGTAGTGGTCGACAATACTGCCATGCTAGCAGATGCGAAGGCCGAGACATCTGGCGACACACGCGCCACTCGGCAGGCCCCGGCACAGGTCGACACGTTGGCTGAAACGTAAGCAAATGCAGACGCCAAGACATTGGTGACAAACTAGGCTAAATGGACGTCGCAGCACTGGTTGAAACTCTGGCAGTCAAGCAAGCAGAAGGGAAAGATGCTAGAATGGAGGACAAAATTCTTAGAACAATTAACACGATCTGCCTTAATTTTTCTCCCTTTCCCCCTCTCCCCTAAGTAATGTTGTAGTTTGTGCACCCCTGCACACTTTACCCTGTCCTAAAAGTGTTTCTTCTAGGGTTGTAACAAACCTCCCCCTTCCCCTCCCGGTCTGCGCCATAGGTTCACCAATCTCTTCACATGTAATACGATGTAGACTTGTAAACTATTCAATTCCTACACCTTCCTTCCAAAAGGATAACCGTTCCAAGGATTTTTTTCCTCCATTGTGTGAACAACATTCCAGGTGGTATATATGAAATTTGGAAGGAATTTTATAGTCAAAAGTTGGGAGACCAGTATTCTCTGTTTCCATTTTTAGAAGTAGGCTATGGCAGGTACCTTATTGTGTGCCTGTTTTGAAAACGAGTCGGAGATGGGGGCAGGTAGGGGAACACCATGGTGTGATATATGATACAAAGAGTCTTTTCGTTTCATTATATTATTATTATCTATTCGTTTTTTATGTCTTAAAACCATCCTTGTCAATGCAAAAGAGAGTGATTTAAATTCACAGTCTGAGATTGTCTGGTTTTCATGCCTGAAATCTAGTTATTGTATCCAAAGGGCTAAAAGTGGGTGGGGAGGGGGCATGTGCTTCGAAATTCGTTCCCAGGCTTAGCGCATTATTCTAACGGTCTTTGTCGAGAGCGTGATATTCGCCATCGCAGAGTAAAAATGGAATATCTGCAAGCTGGGAGACAACGCGTTGTGTATTTAATTACATATAGTCGAGCAGATGTTGTTAAGTTTCTTTCTAAAGAAAGTTTTTCCAATGCTGTATTACAAGCTTGGCAGAATTTTGGCGTTAGAGTTGAATAGTGGGTAACGTGTATTGAGGCTCATCGCAACACAGATAATGCCGAAACTGGGCAGGAGATGAATCTATACTATTATCACATGGCTATAAAACTGGAAAAGAGGGTCCGGTGGTTTCAAGTACGAAAGTATTTAGACGAGAACTTCGGGATAAAGGTGAACTCCAGCGATAATCACACCACCTACTACAGCGCGTACCGTTACGTCACGAAAGAAGACAAGGACGCTTTGCACTCGCCTTGCTATCCAGATTCAACGGACGTTCCTCCTCAAACCGAATCTGCTGTTGCCACGAAAAAGAGGAAAGCGAAGGCTAAGCAACAGCGCCGTAAGTCTAAGAAAAGAGGAGGTGATCGCCTGAGCACTTTTGACGTGTGTCAGCTGGTGCAAGCCAAATCCATAAGCTCACGCTTAGAGCTTGTGTCTTTAGCGGCGGCTCAAGTTAGAGAAGGGAAAACCGCGTTGGCCGAATTTATTGCCAACCGGGGAAGTAAAGCGGTCGATGAGGCGATTCAGTTAGCGAAGGAATTTGCCGAGGCCGAAACACGTTTAAATCGGTCTAAAAAAACCTGCATTGAACTGCTAGAAGAGGAGCTGACCGGGGACTGCATTGAGGGTTGTGAAGGGAGATGGCTTACAGCTGCGGAAGAGTTACTCCAGCGCCACGAGATCGAAAAGCGTTCATTTTGCAATGCAATTTACAGTGCACTGGAAAAAGGTAGAGTGAAGTATCGCAATGTTTATATACATGGTCCTGCAAATTGCGGGAAATCGTTTATTGTATCGCCACTAAAAGTTATTTACCAGGCTTTCTCGAATCCCGCCACGGGTTCATTTGCCTGGATAGGTGCTGAAGAGGCCGAGATTATATATCTTAATGATTTTCGGTGGCATCCTAAGATCATCGCCTGGGCCGATTTTCCGCAAGCTCTAGAAGGGGATACAGTTCACTTACTTACTTACTTACTTATGTAGCAAAGATATTGAGCTATCAAAAGATACCCCGTTTTTTGCGACCTCAGATGCCCCGTTGGTGCTAGTGAAAGGGGGTGCGATCGACCGCGTGAATACAGAAATGATGAGCTGCCGATGGGTTTTTTTCAATTTCTGCAAGCAAATACCACATGCAGAACAGGAGGATATTCCCCCGTGTAGATTTTGCCTCGCAACATTTATTTTGCGTGAAGTGCGTGGCTGATGTGACCTCTTTTTACCGTGCGTGACTAAAACTTGTCATTCGAAAGACAACTGTTGTCACAGTTCTCGGGCTAAAAAACTTTTTTTACGTTGTTTTGACGGCCCGTCCAATCCAGTTATGTACTTGTAATTATTTTTGCTCGAGTTCCCCCGGTAAATATTGGTTTTAGATAAGGAATTATACGCGGACAACGATTTTGGCAAAAGTTCTCGCCTTAAACTAATAAAGAAATGAAACGTTAACAATCTCTTTATAAATGTTTAACCCGAGAACTGTTGTAAATCGCAAAACCCATGTGCTTTATACATTACTTGTACAACATTCAGTGGCAATGAAACATTTTATTACTGTTTTTATACAGCTGGATCATATATCAACATTCTTTAGCGCGATATTTCACATAATGTAGCCGAGAACTGTGTCCGAGAAATGTTATATGTTAAAAAAAAGCACCGACTCAATGTAACGCAATTCTGTGCTCTTTTCCAAAAACACATTATGATTTAATACAAGTGGCAACTATTTTGTAAGGTAAAAAGTTCATTCATTCATGATTATCAATCAAAGTAGCTGTGGTTCGGAAAAATGAGACTTCATTGTTTTAGTATAAGAAAAATAGTATAAAGGTGACATTCAATTGCGTGATTAATATTTTATTCTTTCGCCCTTGGAGGCGAGAATAGCTGTAATCCTTCGGTTCATACTAGAGATAGTCTTATCTATAGTTTCAACGGGAATATTCCCAAATGCTTCCAAAACTCGACCGTTAAATTCATCAAAGGATTCCCTCACAATGTATCTGGAGATTGCCTCCTGATCTAAGTAGCGCTTAACAAGATGGAAAATATTCTCTATGGGATTCAGATCTGGTGACCGGGGTGGGATTTCATGAAAGCTTCCCTCAATATCTTCAAGGGCGAGTTTCGCGGCCCGACTGGTCTGTGAGGGGTCGTTGTCCATAACAAATAAGCGTCGACCATCTGCTTTTGGACCAGCTTTTGCAAAAGTAAGGTTGAGATGTTCCCGAATAAATGTTGCAAAAAATTTACCTGTCATTTTCTCGTACGGCACTTTTAAGATGACTCCTTTTCCGTATGCTATGGCGACGATAACATGCAAACGCCGTCCACCCGCTAAATCTTTACATCCCTTGGTTGTAAGTTGAAGCCCTTCCTCTCGTTTTCGCCACATCCTGGCTCTGTTAGAGGCCGCACCACTTTTCGGGTTATACTTGTGAACAAACGATACCCCGTCCAAGTAAAAGGAAATTTCATTTTTCCAGAAATCAGGATTTCTAATCAGCTCTTGCTTCATCTTACGTGAAAATTGCAGTCGCACCTTTTTATCATTGTCAATAAGAATCCCCTTTCTCCGAGCCGAAAAATAATACTATCCAAGTTCATTCAAATAGCGCGAATACGTCCTCCTACTGGCCACTTGAAAACTAAGACCACTCTCTTCAACTAAACTTCTCACAGTAACGTGTACATTATTCCGTCTAAAAGACTTTAAGGTACGAATCAGTAAACGCATATTTCTTTCGCTTACATTTCGTGGTCTTCCCTGCTTCTTGTCACTTGGCATCCTCGTCAAACTTCCATGTTGAAACTCATTACTGCAAATTCGGTGCGCAGACGATTTTGATATTCCACATTCGTCAGCGATTCTTCGGTAAGAAAATTTACTGTATGTTCTCAGGTACCAGGCAAAAGCCCTTTTCTCGGCTGCGATTTGTTGGGTAAAAACCATACTTGCGTGTACATGCAATTATTCCCAAACCAGACGAAGAGTAATTTTTCATGGAAAGTTGAACAACGTCACACTCGATACCGTTTTCGAACTCTGCTAAAGCTCGCGCAAACATTACTTTTGGTCACGCCATATATCCTTTCACATTGTAAATAACAATTCCTTGTCTTATTATGGTGTTTATTTTCTATTTTTCAAAACGTTAATAGCACTTTTGTACGTTAGGCAGTATTCAGACAATGGAGAACAAAATTCTTAGGACAATTAACACGATCTGCCTTAATTTTTCCCCCTTTCCCCCTCTCCCCTAAGCAATGTTGTAGTTTGTGCACCCCTATACACTTTACCCTGTCCTAAAATTGTTTCTTCATCCCAACATTGTTTGGAGGGGGAAGGGGAGGGCCAGACGCGGTGTCCAAGTGGTTAGAGAAGTGTACATTATGCTACATCTGAACATTTGATAAGTTAAGGATGTGGAAGGAAGGTTTTCCATAACCGTTTCTAGGTTGTCCTCCATTGTAAATTTATCAACACACTGGAGGTTACGGAGGCCAAGTCATTAGTGGAAAGACTTGTTGACACTTGAACAGAAAAAGGGCACGAGGCAGTTATCAAGAGACTGGCTGACACTTTTAGGAGAGGCGTAGGCCGAGACACTTGGTCAACTTCGATTGCATACGGAAGCATATCCACTGGTCGTCACGCGGGCTTAGAGGTTGGCAGAAGAGGAGACCGAGACACTTAACGACACATTGGCATAGTGAAGGCCAAGTAGATAGCTGACACACTGGCTCAGACTCTAGCAAAGGCGAAAGGCCGATATAACTGACGATAGTTTAGCGATGTGGGGGCCGGAGCAATGTTTGACAGGTTGGGTGACAAGCTACCAGAGGTAGCTAATTTATTTATTACAGATTCACTCCACTGCATTACAAGCAAATAATGAAATGAAATAAGCTAACACTACTATAAGAAAAAAGAAAGAAAAAAAAGTTGTGGAGAAGGAGACAACCAAAAGCACCAATGCGCCATACTACGGATGCCCCCACTAATTAACATATAAGAAAAATATATACATATAGAAATATAAATGTTCTAGTTATCCTTAATAAAGCTTAAAACATTTCTTTTAAAAGTTGCAATACTTTTTGATTCTCTAATATGATTGGGTAAACCATCCCATTTATCTACAACACGTTAAAAAAAATTATATTTAAAACCATCAGTTCTACTAAAATTTGGAACAAGGTCCTGTGTGTCATTTTTCCTCAAGTTATAACCTGTATTTCTGTCCTTACAAAATATGAGCTTATTTGAAATGTCAATATCATAATGTCCATTAATTACATTTAAAAAATGTCACATCTCTAGTGAACCTCCTATTAGATAATGACAACAATTTTAGCTTAGATAGTCTAGTATCATAATCATCATCAGACCTAGCGATCCATCTGGTAGCTCTTCGCTGAACAGCCTCCAGTTTATCAATGTTACGTTTAGTATGAGGGTTCCAAGTTTCGCATGAACATTCTAATAAGGGTCTCACAAGACTACAATAAAGTGTGTTCATGGTATCAATATCCTTTAAGTCCCTAAAAGTCCTCTTAACCAACCCTAAAACCCTATTAGCCTTAGCAGTTATTTTATGTACGTGTTGTTTCCATGAAAGATTACTAGCAGTAAATAATCCTAAATCTTTATACACGTCAACACTTTCCAAAGGTTGACCTTCGATATTATACTCCCCAACTGAGGGCGACTTTTTTTCTGGTTATTCGCATGATCTTATATTTCTTGGTATTAATTCTCATCTTATTCATCTTACACCAATCTGAAATTTTGTGTATGTCACTTTGAAAAGTAGACAGATCTTCTTGAGTACTAATAACCCTATACATCTTACTGTCATCAGCATACAGAGCAATTGAACTGTCCTTACTAATTACCCCCGGTATCGTTGATGTAGACTATGAAGAATAATGGTCCCAACAAAGAACCTTTAGGGACACCAGAGGTTACAAATAACCAGTCGGAAGCCTCTTCTTTCACTACAACACGCTGTTGACGTTCTGTTGAATAATCTCTACATCAATTTAGCAAGTCTCCATGGACAACATATTTGTAAAGTTTAATCGACACGCTGCCTCACACGCTAGCAGCAGTAAAGACCAACGAACTTGCTGACACACTGAGAGATGTAGTCGACCACTCACTGCTCGACAAACTGGGCGAGAGCAAGGTTGAGGCACCTTGTAACACACTAGATGATGTGGTCGACGAATCTCTGGTCGAAACACTAGGCGATGTGCGGTTCATGGTACTGGTCGACACGTTGGCTGACAATCTCGCGGAGGCGGAAGCGAGACACCTGGTCACACACTTGTAAGTATAGTGCCAAAGCACTGGTTGACACGTTGGCTGTGTTCGACCAGTCACTTGTCGGCACACTGGGTGATAAGCTGGCCTAGGCACTGGTCAACACCACGGGTCAAACGCTACCAGAGGTGAAGGCCACGACACTTGCCAACATACTTGGCGATGTATAGGGCGAGGCGCTGATCGACACGCTCGCTGACACGGTAGCAGTTTCGGTGGCAAAGAAACTTGGCCACACACTCTGCGATGTAAAAGTCGACGCACTGCCTGTCACGCACAGATGGAAGCCATGAGACTTTTCGCCACACCAGACAATGTGGATGCGAAGGCACTAGTCAAAGGCTAGTCGACACGCTAGCAGGAAGCGAAAGCCGAGAAACCTGGCGAAACATTGGCCAAGGTTGAAACGGAGAAGCATCTCGACACCCAGGTTCACACTTTATCATAGTAGAAGATAGAGGTACAATGGACAATGTAGAAGCCAAGGCACTGGTTAACACACTGGCGGACACCGCAGCGCAAGTCGAGGCTAGAAGTCTTGCCGACACACTTTGCGATGTGGACGCTCACTAGTCGAGAGCTGGCTGATAAACTAATAGGGGCAAACGTCGAGACACTGTGCGACACACTGAGCGATGAGGGGGCCTCAAGC